TATTCAAAGTAATACTGGGCAAGTAATGGGCAACATTTACCATTGATTGGTGCGCCATGTCAGCGGACTGGGAGCAACACGAACCGTTAGCCCCGCAGTCATCCGGTTCGACGTGACTGTGTGACTGACCCGAGTATGGAAGCAAACAAGAGACAGAAGTATTCGAATTGTATTAGACACCGAATTTATAGCATTGAAAATAATTACTTTGAAAATCATGTATCTGAATGTTTTTGCTCCGAATTTACCTATGTGAAATAAAAATGTAAAAATTCAAGTAAAAAAAATTCGAATGTTCAAATTCAGATCCCAAAAATTCGACGTCAAAAAATTCGATGTCAAAAAATTCGGTGTATAAAATTCGATGTCAAAAATTGCGATGCAGCATCATCCGGGCTACTCAGACAGGATAAGCAATCGAGCCCTAATGCAATCAAACTAAATAAATGTATTATTAAAATAATATTTAACTGTTATCAAAACTTAGTGCAACTGTGGAAGCTTGCTCTGTTCGGTTGTCTCACTGAAAGACAAAGGGTCGCAGCTCTCACTATGTGATGTTGCTTGGTCAAATGTAACCTTTTGCTAATAAAGTCCACTCAACTTCACTGATGTGTAGGTGATCTAGTATTCAGCCATGTTTAATGGCATGTATATCAGTGTATTGGAGTCATTACTTTATGCATTCTTTGTAAAGCATGAAAAAGGTGTACCTTGGAATCCGTGCTGAAGTTCTCTGCTGCTAGGACTCCAGATCTGTCTCTCCTCCTCTGGTCCAGGTCTGTCTCTCCTCCTCTGGTCCAGGTCTGTCTCTCCTCCTCTGGTCCAGGTCTGTCTCTCCTCCTCTGGTCCAGGTCTGTCTCTCCTCCTCTGGTCCAGATCTGTCTCTCCTCCTCTGGTCCAGGTCTGTCTCTCCTCCTCTGGTCCAGCCTGTCTGGATCACCTTAAGGACACTTTGAACAAACAGATGTAAAGTTACATGCGTGGCTTACAGACTTCTTTCCATGCAAACAACTTTTTATCTTCTTTTAAAAACAGGTCATAATCTTATTGTTATACTTAAGAAATGGCTGGATATCACAGTCCTTATACTGTATCAGTTTGATTGAGTATTATTGTGTAGGTCCTATTTATTTTACTGTTACTTTGGATGAGGTTTTCATGAGTCAGTCAAATTAATTTGTTTTCATATGCCATATTCATATGTATCACACACATAGGGGTAAGACACAAACCTATTGAACAAATGCAATGCAATGGATAAGCTTAATTTTCACTGAAGTCACAGATAACGTCATACTGCATCTAATATTTAAACAAATCATTTCCTTGTCACTAAAGCATTGACTACGCTATTCATCGTCCTTAAATGCAGGAATTAAGTTACATGTTCTGTTCTACAGCCACGATGAGGCTGTTTCTCAAGTGTGAGGATAATACAATTAAAAGAGGCATTGGTAATAATATTAAAAACAACAATGTTCGTCGGATAGGCGGTTAGCTGCAATAAATAACTCCAGTTCAACAAACCATATTACAATATCTAAGGGAGCGTTATTATCTTGAAATGTGACGTTCATATTTTAAAGATACACATATTTCATTGTGAGGTTGATTTAATATACACTAAGCCTCTCTTCAACAATACGTTGACGTTAGCTAGTCTATTTTATGCTATAGTAGAGCATAGCGAATTTAAATGAACCTTAACAATGCATACAGTAACCTAAATAGAAAACTAACTATCTAACGTACAAAGATGACCTTATTTTAGCAACCTCGCACAGAAGCCTTTTGGTATACAGTAGCATCCCACTTAATGTTTTACACTCTTGGATGCTACGCATAGCATCGTTAGCACAGATGGAGCTACGATTGCTAAAATGCTACCCCAACTCTAAACATTCATTAACGTTAGCTTAATAAAAACACCAGTAACATAACATAAAGTACGCAGGGTTGACTTACCGAAGAAACTGCATTCATGGACGGTCTGTTTCAACGGCAGATAAATCCTATATTTGCAGGACGAATAGTCCACCAGGAACCAACACAACAAACATGGCCGAGTTCAAGTAGTGTTCTCCTCATGAGCTGAGCCGCTGTAGCATCACGGAGCTAACGGAGCTAGCAGAGAGGAGCTAGGAGCAGCAGCCCCGTTGTCATGAAGGGGGAATCTAACTATATACAGAATATGTTTTTGTAGATCCAGGCTAGAAACATGTTCATTTTCTGATGTTAAGTTGGACATTTTAACAAAGGGTCTACGGGAATTGCTCCCATCTGCATCCATCGCCTACAGTTTGCAGCATTGGGCTTCACCGCACTGTCCCGGGGTTTGCCGCTTGGCTCTGATAGGCCAGAAGTCGGTTTGATTGCATTAGGGCTCGATTGCTTATCCTGTCTGAGTAGCCCGGATGAGGCTGCATCGCAATTTTTGACGTCGAATTTTACACACCGAATTTTTTTACATCGAATTTTAAACACCGAAATATTTGACGTCGAATTTTTTTCACTTGAATTTTTGGGATCTGAATTTGAACATTCGAATTTTTTTAACTTGAATTTTTACATTTTTATTTCACATAGATAAATTCGGAGCAAAAAAAATTCAGATTCATGATTTTCAAAGTAATTATTTTCAATGCTATAAATTCGGTGTCTAATAAAATTCAAATACTTCTGTCTCTTGTTTGCTTCCATACCCGAGCCTCGTTGTTCTGATAGCTCCGCCCCTTCGCTCCAACCCCCCACATCTACAGGTGAAAATTACTTTTGCAACACATTTATCGCAAGAAGTGTAGCAAAAGTCAAGACCGCAGATTCGTCGATTTATACTGCCACAGAGCAGATTCGTCAAGTTGTAATGACTGATTTGAGAGGTTGTAATAAATAAAGTTGCAGTTGTAATGGAAAATATATTTTAAAAATATGTATTTTTCTGCAAGTGAACATTTCATCACTAAGTTCATTTTTTTTCTACAAGCTACAAAACTTTTTTTTTCTTCTGTGACTTCAAATTTGGTTCACAGTTACGTGGATATTTTATACAAGTGTACATTTGGTTCACAGTTACGTGGATATTTTATACAAGTGTAAATGTATGCACACAAGCTCAGATTTTTTTTCTGCAAGTGCTCACATCAGGTTTTACACACTCGCATTTTGCACCATATCTACCTTCATAACTAGGGCTAAAATAAAATGTAGGAAGTGCGATATTAAGTAGGCAAATTAACTCAAACACGTCATGTTACAATTATTTTGCTACAAAAGGAAAAGGTACTTGAGTGAGTGACATGCAGGCTCTGCATGCACAGCAAACCACCAATCACAACCATCACAGCAGGATCCACCGAGCTAACTCAACTTGTTCTGATAATTTAAGATCCAGAAGTTTGTGACTAAAATCCTTAATCCGGTTAAATATCGTTAAAAAAATACCAATTGTATAGCATTAAAGTTCAAGAAAAGATGGTTTGCAGACAAAAAAAAACGTTTTTTTCTTCAATTCCTGTATTTTTTCATATCGCAGGAAAAAATATATCGCAATGTCAAGTGTGCTTGTAATGCCTTGAGTACGGAGCCCTGGAGGGTTCATAGAGAGAAAAATAAATAAAACGTGGCCACGTTTTACTTTCTCGTGCGCACGCTTTCGTAACTCGTGCGCACGAGCTACTAAAGCGTGCACACGAGTTACTAAAGCGTGCGCACGAGTTACTAAAGCGTGCGCACAAGTTACTTAAGCGTGCGCACGAGTTACTAAAGCGTGCGCACGAGTTAATAAAGCGTGGCCTCGTTTTATTTAAATTGAGGGATTCCTGTCCGTGACTCACAGTATCTGCTGCCCACAGCTGTTTTATAGAAGGAAAACCTCCTTCACTTTATGAAATCTCTGCGGCACCAGTGGCCTGTACTACGAAGCAGGATTTGCTATTTACACTATTCATTCATGAAGTATGACGCTGCGCTGTCAGCACGCGTCTCCATGTTTGTCATTGGTCAAATGTCCCGTCCCTTTCACGTGAACGCGCTCTCAGCCGGGCAGAGAAACCCTGGTTGATTTATTGAGTTGATAACCAGCTTCGTAGGACCGCTTATCGACATCGCGTTTGTTAGGGTCAGTTAAGCCGGGTAAATCGAACATATCCAGGTCCAGGGTCTGTTGAACTGGCTTCGTCGTACAGGCTTCGTCGTACAGGCAGTAACGTGTAACTCAGCAGAATCTGAGAAGAGCAGCACCAGCTGCAAAGAGCTGTGCCTTTTACTGTTTACTTCACTGCGTTTCCCTTCATTAGAACCGCTGAATAGAGATCGAGGCTGCTACGTTTAACCACACACACCTATTCACACATCGAACTACCAGAGTATTCTCCCTCGCTTTATGAAGGAGATGTCCTGTCACCGGGGCGCATGATGTGTGTGTGCTCAGCTCCGCTCTGTGTGCGTGTTCGTGTGTATCCGACACCACCGGCATTTGTTTTCAAATTACCACGAACAGTACTTTACACAAATCTGGTTCCCCATAGTTAAGTGTATTCCCAAGTGAAAGACATTTGTTTAATCTTAATCTCGATGTGCTATAGTCCTGCCGGAGTGCACCGGAACGAACGATACTATCATAAACAAATGCCCCCCCACACACACACACAAAACGAGGCCACGCTTTAGTAACTCGTGCGCACGCTTTAGTAACTCGTGCGCACGAGTTACTAAAGCGTGCGCACGAGAAAGTAAAACGTGGCCACGTTTTATTTATTTTTCTCTCTATGAACCCTCCAGGGCTCCGTACTTGAGTGTGTATTTACATTAAACATCACATTCTCTTCAGATTTCTATCAAATGATGTCAGCCATATTTCTATGTGCTGCTGTCATTGCCAGGAAAAGATGTTTGCCCAAAATCTTTTGTAAAAACAGAACAAAATAATACCAATAATTAGAAAAAATAAACAATATCAGGTATCACATGAGCTTCTGAGAGACATAAACCACACACCGTCTTCTTTTTTTGTAACAAAAAGTTTTATTGGCTTCTCTAATCCGTTCATCTCAATAACAGGTACAGCCTGGGAAATCATATCACATGGGTTCTAGAACAAATAAGACAAAGGGGATGGGGAGGCCTCTGCTACAACATTTGGTATTGAGGTGAGTCAGAAAAAAAGCCATAGAAAAATGTCTTTATCATGCATACTGGAGAAAAACTCAAAACAAAATGAGAACACACATTTGTAGTGTTTTTGTACATTTCTGTAAACAATATCCTTCTAGAGATCATATCAAAACACATTATGGCAAGTAACAAAAATAAGGGATATAACGAGAGAAATGAATGTTCTATGAGGCATCTAGAATGCAACACTGCTTGGCGTGGATGTTTTTACAGAAAAAGAAAAATACATTTGCATTTTGACGAGTCATTTGCTCTATATTTGTAAACACAGGCAGTGTTAAAATGAGTATACAATATGTCGAACCTATACTACAAATATTTCCACTACATACATGAAACGTGTGTCCCTGCTTTCTTGCGCTTTAGTGATATGAGGTATATTTAGGTCAATCGTATCGTCTTTTTTTCTTCTCCGTCTCTCACCCACTCTTTTTTTTTCTCCTTTAGAAAGCATAGTGTTTGTTTGGAGTGAGGTGGCTGGTCAGTCTTTGTTCCCTGTGATCTGAGCAGCTTCAAAGTCTCTTGGCTGTGGAGCTCACAGACATAGGAAAAGGAAAAGGGGAGAAGGGGGGGGTTCGGCTCACAGGAAATCAACTAAATTAAATATCAACCCTGGCTGCCGGGATAGAATGGCTTTAGCCACGTAAGACAAAGAAGGCCATTGTTTATTCTTGTGAGTGCAGGGCTGCATTTTGGGAAAGGGGAGGGGGGAATAAGTTACCGTTTGTGTTTCTCAACTGTATCATTGAAGCAGTTTCTTGCAGCTACTACCACAGTGGGGTTAAAAACATCATTAAGAAATAGTCGAGGGGGGGGAAAAGGAGGTAAGAGGTAATGGGATTACTTGCCAAAAATATCTGCTACCGAGTTCTGTTGTGGCTAGTGGAGAATAAATAAAAAGGGGTTTGGGGTTCCAGCATGTCAGCCCGTCTCTCAAAACACTTAAATACAAAGAGGTACTCTCAAAATATTGTATAACAAAGTTATGGCAAATCTTTTTACAACATCACCCGACAGACCGTAAGAAAAAAGCAACAAAATACATTTAGATGCCCATGCCTACTCAACCCCTATTCAAATACTCCCTCCCTCCCACCCCCCAATCCCGTTCACAGTTTTCTCCTCTTAAAATAATAATAATAATCATTAGCATAATAATCACGTATCACATCTGCAAATTGAATGGGTTGTTGTTGCTTCCAATGATGATTTGTTTTTAAAAAGTGCTTGTTTGATTCCATTTACACAAAAAAGGAACAGCAAGAGTGGAGCAGAAAGTGACGACTACAGCAACAGCATGAGGAAAAGATCTCCAGCAATGGGATGAATTTAGTCTAAGCTTCTTCTTTTCTACTGGCCAAAGCAGGCACAACTAGAGAAGTATGCGGTTAGACGAGATTCATTAACCGACGCCTAAAGCTGACAAGTTACCTTAAAGATGCTGTGTGCTGAACTCCACTACAATTCATACTACCTCGTGTACACATGTGGCTCTCAAAAGAAATGTGGATGTCTTCACATTGACACAACAGTATCATAATCTCAACAAAGCTACACGCAGTAGAAACCAAACATCATGTATTGTAATTTGTTGTTCCGACGAGTAAAAAAGAAACAAAAAATCAAAGCTTTGTAGTCTCAAAGTACACCTGTAAAAACTGTGCTAATTGCATCTCATAATACAAAGTCTTATTACACAAATTTGACTATTTTTCCTGAGTTAATATGTTTCTTGTAACAGACAATATATACTTTTTTTGCAATTTGAATTCTGGGCCTTTCCCTGCCACACATGTTATTATTGAAATTATCAACATTAGCCATTATTACTTTACAATGGTATGATTGGTAAAACACAAGGGTTTCCAAAAAAAAAAGATGCAAGTTTATAGCTACCCTCTAAATGTTTTAAATTACATTTAAATCTACGGTACGTTCATATCAAAATCACTACTCTTAAACAAAAATGAAGCGACTAAATACATAATAAAAATGAGAATATTTAAAAAAAATTGCATTTGAGGCCATGAAAGACCCTCCCTGGTCATTTTGTATTAACAATTAATGGCAGTGTTTAAAAAACAAAAATTAGGATGGGTGTGGGGGCTGCGTGGACAGTAACAGGAGCCCCCTGCTGGATTCACCTCGTTTGACCCTTATCTGAAACTTTGGCTTGTCTGGGTTTTTGATCCTGTACTCACTGGCTCGCCGACGTCAGCTAACAAACTGGTATACCCTGAGAATTCTGACACTGGAGTCCGTATTCGGTGGTCCACCTCCACCCCAGGATCGCTGCCGTAGCCCAGAGGGGTCCGCCGCCCTGACTTGAACTGGGAGCCAAAGGCCTGGGCGAAGTTCTCGATCTGGTACATGGTTTCTTTTGGGGTGTTCAGTGGGGACAGGTCTGGATAGCTGGAGCCGTTGGTGGGTGCAATGCCCACTCCGGACTTGGGCTGCGGCCCCTTGGATCCGTCTGCCGAGGCAGTCAGGTCCTGGGGAGGTAGGTTGAAGGTGCCCGGGGAGTGCTGCTTCTCCAGCTGCTCTGTCAGCTCCTGAGAGGGGGTCAGCTGCTGGTGGCTGGTGGGCTCCAAGCTGAGGTGGTAGCCCGCCTGGGAGGGGGAGCTGACCAGCATGCCGTAGTGGGACTTGGAGGACGACGACGAGGAGTTTGACGAAGGGGCGACGATGGGAAGCGGGGAGGACACAGAAGGCGGGTAGCCACAGTCCAGCGGAGATGTGGCGTACCCGTGTTTGTCTGAGAAGAGGGGCCCCGTGGGGCTGGAGCTGCTGGACAGGAGTGGGAAGGGCCCAGTTTGGCCAAGGCTGGGGAAGGGCCCGCTGTGGCTGGTGCGCTCCAGGGCCTGCAGGAGGAACTTCGAGTACTCGCTCATCACTGCATGCTTGTCGCCACCGTTGGGGGAGTCGTCCTCCAGCTCAGGGGTGACGGGGGCCGCCGGCTGGAGGTCGACGTGGTGCGGGTGGTCCGACAAGTCGAAAGTCACGTCGTGGTGGTGTTGCCCCTCTGGCTTATGGCTATAATGCTCGAGCAGGGTTTGCAGCACCTCGTCGGGAATGCCTGACTTGTCGTGCTTGAGATCCAGAGGCGAGGTGTCCAGCATGGCCAGCGTGGGCTCGGGCCCCAGGGAGCCGTGGATGACGCTGTTGCCCTGGGATGCCATGTGCAGTGAGCCGGCTCCATAGTCATTGTTTACAGCTTGGAGGTAGCGCCGCTTTTTCACAAACTGCATTGCATCATCGTAGTTGCTGCTGGTGGTGGGCCCCTGCTTGTTGAGCCCGGGCCCCTGGAGCAGACCCATGTTATCGAGGCCCGAAACCTCCACGTGATCCATGGAGTCGTGCTTCTGCCCCAACCGCTTCTGTCCGTCGGCGGTGTCTTCCAGAGCGAGGAGGCCCTTGTCCAGGTCCTTGCGGCCTGCTTTTTTAAAGACCAATTTAGGAGTACGTCCCTGCATGTTGGGGTCGGAGCCCGAGGGGTGCTCCATGTCGAAGTCCTGCATACTCATCCCCCCAGAGGAAGAAGCTGCTGATGCCGAGGCGTTCTTCTTCCGCTTGCCGCCCTCCCCGTTTTTGGACTTGGCCCTCTTGCGTCCGGAGGTGGTTGAGTTTCCCTGAGTGAGTGAATAGCTGCCCTGGCCTAGCTCCGCATCGCTGAGCTCCAGCATGCTCGGGTCCAGGCCCTTCTTTATGGCTTCTCCACAAGTCCGTTTGTGCTTCAGTAACCGGTCTGTTCTTGAGAAAAACTAAAATTGGAAAAAGGAGAACATGGATAAGGGAGAAAAACCAAAACCGTTCTAAAATATTGCTCTCAATGACGTCTTTTAACTTCACCAATCCCATTTGAGACAGGGATTTAAAGATGGATTTAAGTGTGGAAAGCAAAGAAATAAATGTTTTTTAGATTTGCAGACAAAATGATAATAATGCATGTTACTGATACACATAATTCAATAAAGGATCACTTCAAAAACAGCATCAAAAACATATATAAAAGCGAAATTGCAGAAGACATCAAATCAAAGAGACCACAGATAACCTACTTGTTGACATGTATCGCAGCGATATGGCTTCTCGCCACTGTGTGTCCTTTTGTGTCGCTCCATATGGTACTTCTGGATAAAGCGCATGTTACACTGGTCACAGCTAAAAGGCTTCTCTCCTGAAAAAGACAGATGACGGTGTTAGAGTTTGTGTAACTACAACATCGCTTATGCAATCTGATTGCATGTATAAAAAAGATGTGTAATGTGTATTTGTAAAGCGCTTTGAGCATCTGGAAAAGCGCTATAATAAATGTAAGGAATTATTATTATTATTATTATTATGCAGATAAGCAAAGGGATGTGTTCCAAAAACACAAGACTTTATATCCAAGGGCAGAAACTCACCACTGTGGATCTTCTCGTGCCGCTGGAGAAGATATTTCTGGATGAAGCTCATGTTACACTGACTGCACCGGAAAGGCCTCTCACCTGTGCGATCAAGAGTACAACAATCCGCTCACCACATTAATTATCTCCTAGCCCGTCACCCGACCATATGGTCACAATGACAGTTAAAGCTGTGGCGTCTCAAAGACATATGAGACTCACATGCTAAACACTTCATATAGACATCTCCTAGAGAAATGGTGTTATATTGTGTATTTAGTGTGACACATAAGATAAAGAACTATACAAAAACAACTTATTTCCCATGTTTAAATTGTGACACGCCGGTACGCTTGGAAGAAGTAATCAGGAAACAAGGCAAGTGATTTCAAATAAACTGAAAAAAAAGCTTTCCTCCAAATCTTTTATGTGTTTAAGTTCTAAGAGCAAAATGAGGTCTTCCCAGCGAAGAGGACGACGCGTTTCCACTGCAGCGGGGTAGCCCCGTTTAAGCGTCCTCGCTCTGGCCTCGGGCTGCCTCGCTGGCCGGCCCAGGCCGTGGCGCATTTTCATTACAGTTTAGGACCTGTGCTAGCAACGCAGTGTAGGCGGGGCGATCGGCTTTGTTTTTGTTCACATTTCGAGTTGTTCCGTCGAGCTCCCGCTGGATTTGATCATCCCCAATGAGATGTAGGAACGTCGTCACCTCCTCGGTCGACCACGGTGTGCTTTTCTTATTAGACGTAGCCATTTTTGTAGCTCATCCGTTTACAAAATGCTGTTTATAAAAATGCTGCAAGCTTGCTTCTAGATATATATGCGACGCTAGGGATGAACTCGCGCGCAATCTTGTGACGATTCTCTCTGACCAATCAGCAGTCGAGAGTGTTGACGTCACTAGTTCAGCCCTGGCCCTGGTCTGAGGGAACCACGATTTTATGAGGCCAGAAAAAGTACCCGCTGGCCGGTACTAGGCTATATGGAAACGCCACCAAAAACCGGCCTGGCCACTTGAGGACGGTTAAACGGGGCTACCCGCTGCAGTGGAAACGCGCCATAAGACTTCCAGAAATACATGAGTAGTCATTGAGTCATCCGTGGCTTCTGTGATTTCCTGGTTTTAACTATGGCCCCAAGCACTCATGGGGAAGGGGAGATTAGTTAGACCGGAGACTAGTGAAGAGTGTAATATTATTTTTTCCAAGAGCGCTGTTTTTATTATTGCCTAATTGTGTTTTAGTGCAATCCTGCTGACATAGCTTAAGAGCAGGTAACATGCAAATTGATCACGGGAAGTATAGTTTAGTACAAGCATAGTTTCATTATAATGTTGTTAGTTCTAATACAGTCTCAACCAGGCGTCTCTTATTGGGAGATCTAATCAGCAATGGTGCATAGTGAAAGGAGGAGTGGACATAGCTGGTTGAATTTAACTTATCAACACATCATTTAATATAAATATATAGGATAAGAAGTAAAAGGCACTGGCAAGCAGCGAAAGCCTCTCACCTGTGTGTATGAGCACATGTCTGCGTAAGTGGTAGGAGCTGCGAAAGGCCGCGTTACAGTGCTCACAGATATGTGGTTTTGAGTTGGGGGACATGCAGGCTCCTTCTCCATCCAACATCATGGCCTACAAAGAGAAAACACATCAGAACATGTTAGATACTGAGATATTCTTCATGCAAATAGCACATTTTGCTGGTGTATTGACAGGGACCACAGATAAGGGATTAACCTTAGCATCGTTGCGTTTCCTTCTTGCCTTGCCTCCTTGCCCGTCCCCGTTGTTCCTTCGTCCTCTTCTACCTGCAGACTCTTTTGGCTCTTTACCCAGTCTTACAGGCATCTGAGGACACACAACAACAACAACAACAACAACAGGGTAAATTCAGTAAATGGCAGAAAAGGGACATAAATTGAAAGTTAAAAGGGTGTACAAATTTAAGCTGAACTAGATATCACTAAACAATATTAAGAACCACAACCCCTTCTCACCTGTTCTCCAAGGGAACGGACGTTGCTGAGGCTGAGGTCATGAAGGAGCATATTCTGGTGATTTTGGTGGTGATGGTTGCCGAAAGACATGTCCGGCATGTCATTATTACTTTTCCCCGCGCCCCCTCCAGCACAGTTTACCCCTACTCCTCCACCCCCACTGTAGAGGGGCATGCGGTAATCCAGCTCGCTTAGTCGCTCCTGCTTAATTCCCATACTGTGGAGGAAGCCCCCTGTGTTCAAATGGCCCTGGTGGTCTGGTGGCGAGTCACGTTCTTTCTTCAGGATCATCTCCTGAGGAAGCTCGCCCATAACCGACTGGGTGGGGAGCCGCGTAAAGCTGGTGACCGGCGGCAGGTGGCTGAACATAAGCATACCTGGTGCAAAATTGGGATCCATGCCACCATTGCGCAAAAACTCATTGCCTAATTTGTCTTGGATAATACTCATGGTGGAGGTGTTGCTTTGTGCAGGGAAGAAGAAGGGCAATAGGTCTAAAGAAGAATGCAGGAGAAGGGTTTCCTGAAAGAGAGAAGAATCATGTTAATTATTGGTGATTTTAGACATTGATACATATAATACAATTACAAATATTTGTCAGGTTTTGTTATTAATGTATATAAAAACACCTAATCTCTAAGGCCACTCAACCTAAAGTACTTCTCACTTGTCGTCAGCCTTCAGTGTGTGCATGACAATGTTCTCTCAATTTCCCCTGTGGCCCATTAATTACGTAATTGGATTTATTAGGCTTTACGTAAATAGTCGTGAGAAACCTCTGAATTAAAATAAACAGCTCACTTTGTGAAACTGTCAACACAACAGTGAAGCAATAAATTGTAAATACTGTTTATACTACATGAATATAAAATATAAAAGCAGTTAGTGGACTTTTTCTTTTATCTCAAACCCAGCAATCGACTTTTGGCACAGCTTCAAGCCAATGTTTATATTATTTATTTACAATTAGTATGTTGAATACTTCAAAGAGACCGTACCATCGCAATGGCACAAATTCCACATCAATCCCCAAATGAAATAATAAATAGGTCAACCATCATGAAATAACCTAGTATTCTCTATAACAAACACAAAATAAAGACATTATTAATACACATTTGAATTAAAGATAAATGCACGTGCCTGTGTATTATTGAAATACAGATCTCTGGTTAATAAAAAACAGAGACACTAAGATTGTGAATTATATAAATGATATATGTTGTGTAAGGGTATAAAGTAAAAAAAACTGAAGCTCTATACTTAATAAAATACAAGCTTTGGAACGAAATCGGTTCTATAGAATTAGTTCAATAGTAAATGGAGAAAAGAGCAAAAACCTGCGTCTGAACCCTGTATTGTTCTGCTTGTGGCATTTAGCACCACATGTGTTTTGGAATGTAGCCAAAATAAAATCTGTGCAAAAGCTTGAACGCCTTCAGACAGACATCCCTATTGTTTTTACACTTTGATGCATACTGAAGCACATCGCTGGTCATGTTTGGTTAATAAACCATCACGAATAAAAAAGCTGGGGGGCATTGATTTCAATACAGTCACATTACTCGGTCCACTACACTTGTCTAAAACAAACGATATTTAGGTCAAATACAGCTAGACGTAACAGTCAAAATAGGCAGGCTTGATTTGTTACTACGTGTATCGAAAGGAGCACAGAAGACTGGAGTGAGAATTTATTGTTTAGTCTACACTAGCCGACCATTTGGCTCCTCCACACTGAATTCAACAGAAAGCGGATGAGCTTTTGTGATGCATAATAGTTAGCTAGTTAGCATAGCAAGCTAGCCGGTTTACCACAATGAGACACAATCAACGCACCTTTACGTCCTCAATCAAAACAATAGGCTAAGACAAACTAAAACCAAAGATCGGCCATTCACATAAAGTCAAACCAACAATCAAAGTTATGTTGACTCAATCAGCCATGTATGTCTTTGATAAATGTGTATTTTTATCCTATATTATCGATGTAACGCAACGTTTAGCATGTTACCTAGTGTTGCTATCAAGCTAGCTAATGCTAAAACAGGATCCATGATTTGATGCCATTAACGCATATTGGCTATTTAAAAAAGGTACATATATGAGGGGCAGCATAACACAAACAAAGGCATGAATCAATTCCATAGAAGCAAATACAAAACAGTGGGACATGTACATTTTAACAGCAAGTTTTAGACAAATAAGGTCATCGGTATAAATTACTCATTCTCCAATTCCCAAGCTTTGATGACGCTCGTGAAATCAAATCTGTCTGGCTTCGAGCGACGCTGGCGCTCTATTTATTGTTAGCTAACTTTAGCTGTAATTGCTCCCGGATAAGCCTTACCAGCACATTTAGCTACCAAACACATTCCTCGGCGACTGCTGTACACGTGGACTTGATATCCAGTGCTAAACAAAACTGTACGCTTTGAAGCAGCTGTGTTTATAACAATCAAGCTGCCATGAGCTAGCTAGTTAGCTGCTAGCTTGCCCCGAATGAAAACCCGCATTACGGCCCATGCAACAGAAACAATGATGCTGGCTCTCGGTGCATCTCACCGTCTCACAATTCCGTCGGGTAAAATCTCGACAAAGCTTAAGCATTCACCACAAATAAAATACTATTTCGTTTCCCACTCACCTACACATGACCGCAGTTGGTTAAAACGTGCCTGTATTCTCTCCGTATTCGCCGCTTTGGGGGTTTATTGCCAAAACATTGTTCTCCGGCGGTCGCTGCTTTCATCCATCTTGTCCTGGCGCGGGGAATTATGGGTGTAGTAGGGACGGGTCGTGAGAGGAGACAGGCTGGTGGAGTCTGCTGAGGGAAGAGAGAGAGGCTGGACAGCACTGAGTGAGAAGAACTATAGTAATGTAAACAACTCGGACATATTAACATGAACACATCATGTAATGTGGAGAGACATGGCGTCGTGCAAGTCTTTATCTTTTTTAATTCAGGATTCAGAAAACGTCCCAAGTAAAACACATATCTCCCAGACATACAGATTGTTCAGTTGACATGACAGAAAACACCTACATTAAATGTAATGTAATTATTCAGAAAAGGACACTGGAGGATATGATAAGCCACACACATTAATTTATGGAAATAGTTTAATTGGAAGATAAAACAATGTATTGTTCAGGGTTCCTTTTGAAAGATTCAATGTTAGATAAAGGTTCAATATCACTTTAATGTTGAATGAAATATGTGATGAACGGTTGGATGTATATTTGGGAATGTGCAGTACTGAAAGGATCTTGGCAAAATATAAAAGAGGAGAACATATAATGAAAATATCTTTCACAATGGATCCTTTGTTGTCTATACAAAGAGTAACATTTACTTTGTTGCAATAATTGTCAGATTTATATAATAAACATGTCATTTAGGTACATATAAGTTACTTAAATGATAACCTTTTATTTTTTTCGATTTTCAAGTAAGACAAAAAGACATACATCAAGATTCAATTTGAAAATGGAGATGAAAAAAGCTAGAAAACCATAAATAAATACTATTGACACATACATTACAAACAGAGAACAAAAGTCAATTCATTAAATCAATTAAGTAAAGGACATTTCCATTCATAATAAAATAATAACACCTCATAAGAATATGGATGCTGATAAATAAAAAATGCCAATGCAAACTGCCACAAATGTTGAACTTTGTTAAAATTAAGACTGTATTGTTTTTTATGTGTATGATTCCGATATATATAGCACCATCGTCACAGTGAATTGATTTATTTCGATATTGATTAATGACTAATTTCATTAGGGAATTGGCTCCACGATAGTATTGATCAGTTCAGGGGTAATCTGCACTATGAATGAGAAAATCCCTGTTTCAAAATGTAATTATAAAATCACATTTGTTTTGTTTGTGTTGTCTCCACAAAGTGAATGTTCATGAATAACTGATGATGGGGGTGAACAGGGCTCATATTTTGACCTTGTTCCTTAGATTGAACATGTTCTGTTGTTGTGTGATGCATTCACCATGATGAGTGTGTCCTTTTCCTTTATTGTTCAGGCACTACATTTGTGGCTTCGTAGAAATGGTTATTTTGAATGTTAATATAATAATCCTTGGGAGCTTTCGTTTCTCCACTGATGCATTTTTATTTGACATTTTATATCAGCTAGAATTAGGAAAATGAGGACACTGAGTGTTTCTCCTGCAGTTTGTGCAGTGTTTACCACACTTTACATGTTCTTCTGCTAAAAGCAAAACATGTCTTTACTCATTAACAAAATAAAGAGTTTTTGTTATCAACCTGTTATTGACAGATATCAGATTAATGCCTTACAGTCAAGAGTCCGCGCTTCGGGGGAGCTAAAGGCAAAACAATTACAAAATAAAATATCACTTAAAAGTTACTGTGGCGGTTAACATTATTGACTCATCATGCAACCCTTTACGAAATACTGTAGGTATCAAGATAAAGGCATGTCATGTAAAGTGTTTTTGATAGGGGAAGCACAACACAATTAGAAACATATTATTGTACGAAGGTTTAAAATAGCGAATAGCTGAGATTCAGTTTTTTTGTGCACAGTTCAATTTGCATGTATCCTCTGCTGATAAAACATCAACATATTTATTACGTCCAAATCCAAAATCATCCAGTAAAAAGTGTTTTTCCAATTGGTTTTCATTGCCACTTATATTGTATTCACTTCTAGAACTGAACAACTCATTTCCTGCTGCCCTTGGAGTTAGTCCAACTAAATGTCTCACTCTGTCTGTTCTTCCTACCAGCCCCATACTCCTTTATTTTCAGTTAATCAACACAGCAAGGTCATTGTAAGATTATTGTATTGACAATGCTGACAGAGGAAATTACAAACTTGATATTCCTTTTAGGACTATAGTGCCATTACAGCACAATCGTGATCACATTAAGGCCCTCATTGGAAAGAAAAGAGCAGTTATTCAATTTTCAAATGCAGTAAATAGCTGTAACGGCGATACATCATATCAAAGTTGATCATATTCTCATAGGGACTTGGTGTTTATAGGCTATAACCAATTGTTGTTAATTGTGTGTATTTCTGGATACATTTCTCCACAATCTGGCAGACTGACTTACATTGCATTTAGTTTTCTTTAAAGAATTATGCGGTCCATATTTACAGTAATTGACTCAGGTTTACTACCACTACAGTAACACTAGGGGGAACTAAATAGCCACCAACGACCCAAGGCTTAGACTAACCAATGTAATAGTACAGTGCTTCCCATAAGAGCCACCTTATCAGACATCAGGAAATGCATTTAAAAGTAATGTGGAAACAAATTAAATTAAAGAGATGCATTGTTTTCCATCTACCTGATTGTGCACAGACATGACACAATATCTCTCTCTGTACCCTCACATCAGCTGCCCCACCCCCAGAGGAAGAGGAATAAACCACCCGTGCTGCAATTCGCCTTCAATCGTTAATTAGAAGTCACTCCTACAAGAGCGTGTTCCCTGAGGCAGAAGTGCGCACTGTAGCCTGCTATTCACATTCACAGGTCTATTGAAGCAGCACCTGGTTACAGCGAGGACAAAGCCTCTGAATCGAGCTGTTTGGATGCAGCTTTAGTTTTAAACGTAACGTTTGAAGGTGGTTTATTTTTCCTGCATGGATGAAAACTGAAAAAAAAGTTGGCACTTGCAGCTGACTCTTTTGCGTAAAGGACCGAATCTGAATCATGTATTGCGCAGAATCTCAGCTCATTTAGGATTAATTTACAGGAGAGAGGCGCATCTCAACCTCACAGGATGCGAGACGCGCGCTGAATGGATTTTGGGCAGGGGGGGAACAAACTTGCGCAAAGAGACTGATTCTGCACAAGTATCGATCACTTGTCACAAGTAGGGGATTGACACAATGGCAGCCTTACGGAAGAAATTTGGCGAGGACTACCAGGTGGTTAACACAAACCAGGGCATTACTTTTTCCGCACAGGTGAAGAAGAAGAGGCAGCGGTTCGTGGAGAAGAACGGCCGCTGCAATGTCCAGCACGGTAACCTTGGCGGGGAAACCAGCCGGTACATCTCCGATCTGTTCACCACTCTGGTGGATCTTAAGTGGCGCTGGAACCTACTCATCTTCATCCTCACTTACACAGTCGCGTGGCTGGTCATGGCTTCAATGTGGTGGGTGATCGCCTTTATCCGGGGCGACCTGAGCAACGGCGGCCACGAAGAATCCTACACCCCGTGCGTCGCCAACGTGTACAACTTTCCCTCCGCGTTCTTGTTTTTCATCGAGACCGAAGCGACGATCGGCTACGGCTACCGCTACATCACTGAAAAGTGCCCGGAGGGTATCATCCTCTTCCTCTTCCAGTCGCTGCTGGGCTCCATCGTGGACGCCTTCCTCATCGGATGCATGTTCATCAAGATGTCGCAGCCGAAGAAGCGCGCAGAGACGCTGATGTTCAGCCAGGAAGCAGTCATTTCGCAGCGGGACGGGAAGTTGTGCCTCATGTTCCGAGTGGGGAACCTGCGGAACAGCCATATGGTGTCCGCGCAAATCAGGTGCAAACTCATCAAGGTAAGCTATAAGTTAAACACGTAGTTTATTCCAAATCACTCAAAAAGTATAGGCACACTTTTGCGCAGTGGGCATTTGCCTCTTGGAGAGTCATTATCCAGGCTAAGACCAATTGGCAGTCACTTAATTTGTTTTGAAATTGCTCATTGTGTTTTATGAGTGCTTTCCAAGTCATGCGTTGCATTCCCATTCATCTCCAGAATTGATTGCACTCCCTGAGGGCCTTTATGATTTGTAGAGAGCTATGGGTTTAACACGAGGCTCCAACATAAGATGTATTTTAATGAGTTACCATTCACACCCTGCAGCAACTATACTTCAGGTTTGTCCTGGACACTGTGTTGTGTTTCTGCACAGGATGTAGCATACAGTTGCCACCCCCCCCCCCCCCCTCAGTGTGCCTTCAACTGTGCTAAGATGAGATGAATGGGCCCTCAGGGGACAACACGCTTATTGACTAAACGATCAATCAGAGCAATTATTTCCCTGAGTGGGCTGCAATGTAGTAAAGTATTTTTCTTAAGGTCAGTCTTGCCAAAAGACAAAATGCCACTAATCTGAAGCACTGATAGTAGGAAGAGATTTACCTTTGCATGACGTGAGGGCTGGTTTCAGTGCTGAAAGTATTCTGATGATGGAAGGAGCTTCTGGCTGTGATAAAAGAGAAGAGGATAACATTTGGTCAATTTCAAAACTACAAGAAACTGCAGCGATGATTACCGCATTTTAAGATTGTATCGTTAAATTAAGTTTCTGAAGTACCAATAATACTTTTTGTTCTCTGCAGAATGTATGACCAACAGCTGGCCACATGCACTGCCACAAGCAGATTTTTCTTGACAGTTGTGTGTCTAATCTGCAAGCTCTGCATTTTCTCTCCGTAGCAGGAATGTCTTTTAAATGTATTCTATTTTTTTCCTGTCCAAACACTAGCCGATATCTAAAGGAGAGCGATGCTTTGTTGTGACAGGGAGAGTTAGTCGTGCTTTTGTCTTCTCTGCGGAGTAGCGTGATGATCTCAAGTGACAGTTTACTTTCTGAACCTCGAGGGAAAGTCTCCAGAAAGCTCCCAGTATGTTGGTATTAATGTGGTTATACTTCGTCTTCTATGATTTTATCCAGGCATATGATATCATTTGAAATAAGTTTTTCTGTTCAGTCATTTTACATTTGATTAGAGTAAAAGTATCCAGTATAGGGCAATAAAAGTCACCCAGTTTAACACATCAAAAGCTATGCTTCAACAATGTATAAAGGCTATATGCTCCAGCTTTCACTTCAATTCGTTTTTTCCTTCTGTTATCATTAACTATTTAATGAACAGCCGACAAAAGGCATAGAAAAATATGGTGTGTTAATTGCAACTAATCAACGGAGCATCATCAAGTCACAAATCATAATTTCTTCTTGTTCTACGAAGGCTATAGGAGTCACATTTAGAGCGTTTAATATTCTGTAATAATCGTCCATGACACATTAAATCAGTTATTTCAAACAGAATATTGGGATATTTTCCCAAGGACTATGCTTTCATGTTTGACCTCTGAATAATCTGTGCCAATAATAAAGATATCTCCTTAGTAGAATTACCCTGTTTGGCAGGGATCTTCCACACAGTTGAGAATTTAGTTATTTTTTGATACCTTAAGGCCTATTGGATAAGTCTGAAACTTGCACACAATATTTAAAGCAGAACTAAGTGCTGCAGTGTGATTACAAGTAGATTACAAGTACTTACGCTACACTGCACCATACTTAATCTTCCCTTTAATGCTTAGGTATTTTTCTTTAAGTAAATGAACCTGCCTGAGTGTAATATAATTAGGGCAATAGGGAA